AGCAGAAATAATGAATTTAATGAAATCCAATAGTTCAAATATTAAAATTATACAATGAAAATAATTTGAAATCAAGTTTTCTCAGATTTTCAGAACATGATAACTCTTTTCCATTCTGATGCATCAGGGACCAAACTGTTGTCGTAAATGAGCTGAAGTTGCATATTAATTTAGAGTACCGTATTTACCCATGTATAAGCCGCTCTCGTAGATAAGCCGCACCCCGAGTTTTAGGAACGTTTTTGAGGAAAAAAAAAGACAGAAAATAAACCTTTCTCTTTTTGATCGCCACTTGCGAACACAGCTTTCTTTGATTTTAAAGTGCTTTTCTGCTGCTCGATTTCCGTGATCCATGCATTTCGTACGCAATTACAATCTGTGTATGATGATCTTGGAGACATAATAAATGAAATTAAATGAACAATGCAAATTAGCATCGCGTTACCAAAACAACTCCAAGACGATTGAAACTGCTCTTTGTTCGTTTAGCTCAATAACCACGCACTTTTCAGTTTGATTTATTGACTTGTGTTTCTCAGAGCTAGACTTTCGGAGAATTTATAGTAATACTGAGAAGTTTGGATTAAAATTTCTGTTCCCGCCGTGTAAAACAAACTTATCACATTATTGATGTCCTGTCTGCAGTAAGTAGCACCGTGAATGCTAATTTATGCAAATTAGTTTTTATCGGSCATTTTTACAAGTCTTCTCGTAGATAAGCCGCACCCCCGATTTGGGAACKATTTTTTTGGAAAAAAAGTGCGGCTTATACATGGGTAAATACGGTACTCTCTTCTCCCATGTCTTTGACCTCCCCTACACCCAATTTAGTGTTAGCTCTTGTTAGGCGATGAACTGCATCTGTTACATTGAGGTCACTACCAACATTGAGATATACAACACTACTTGGTTTAATTCTGGCCACGAAATCTAAATCTGTCGTCTCAATATTTGACCTAACGATTAGTGCTGTTCAGCTATATGACCTTATCATTAGGGATTACCAATAAATTCCCTTAATCATTAGGGTTTTTATAATCCCTGGGTGTCAAGAGCCCTAACCACTAGGGGAAATTGCTGATAACCCCTTTTGATTAGGGATCGTGAGTCAAAATCCCTAATCAAAAACCAGGGTAAAAATGTATGGTGCAATGTATTTATGTCCGATGTTCTGTTTGTTTTGAGTTCATAAATCTACGATTTTTATTTTTTAACTCTTTGCGTTTAATTGTTTACCAAAATTATCTTTTATGATCTTTGGAGAACATAGCACTCTTATCTTTAGCACAAGGGACAATGTATTATGTACACCACTATACCACATTAATAATATGTAAACGCAAATTATATTCCAATACTCATTTCTTACCTTAGTTATCTTGTTGCCATGTTTGTCAGTAATAATAGCAATGATATCAGCTTGTAAAGCCTCACCAAACCTTACTTTAGGATTTGCACAGCTAGACTTCAACATGTATGGATCATCTGGTATTGGTCTAWGACATGCAAATCAATCTATCAATAAAACGCCTATCAACAACTTGGTATTAATTCATGCTTTTAGTGTTAGCACTAAAATCTATACTAACTTGATTGTGAAAGAGAAGTCTAGTCCAACAGAGCCAATCATGTTAATTTGACAGTATTTGGTTTCTGTGATAGCTGTAGGTGTCTGTTGGCAATATGGCAATATTTATACAACTTAAGTCTCTCAACATTATAATGATAGTCACAAATAAATTAATGATGATACTTTTATTTAATATTTTTTTAATAATTAACAAATAAYTGCCTACTTTGACATCTGGAAGTTGTCCTTCCTTAAGCATATCTTTAGGAACTTTTTGGACCCAATTAACCTACAGTGAAAGGACATCTTGTTATCAATTCAATGTTGGCTAATGAGAAATGAAGACTGGGGGAGATATTTTCTCCTCCATTCACAAGAAAAACTCTTCCAACTGAAGTTTAATGGCTTTTAAAGTACATGTAGAGATAATGAAGAATAGATAACGTACCTTCAACTTGTTCATRAGTGTATTATCAATACTCAGTTCTCTCTGCCCTTCATCAAGAATCCTAAAACCTAATAAACAAGACATGATCAACGCCTGCAAACACTGACCAGCAATGCACATATTAATTTTTTTAGAGTCATCACTCGACAACAAACAACTCCTATAAACTACTGACTGTAAATTAAACTTTTTATCAAGCAGCTAACTTTAATGAATTAACAATACACACTATTATTAAATTATTAATATTATTACTTACTCAAACCAGAGATAGTTTTACCAGCCACACACTGTATATCCTGTCCATCTTCTATCTTAATTTTCTGTTTGTCTGGTGCTTCCTGGAATACCTGAATCTGACCAGCCTTTCTACTGGGAGTAACAATAATAGTCTTGTCGATAGCTGTAACATCCTTATGGTGCTGTAGTTCAATCTTGGCTTTGAGTCTCATTGGTTTGTTATTGGACAATTGAAGGGAAATATTRGGACCTGTTAATGCACATTTCCCTGATGAACTGCAATCAGCTGAGTACGTAGGAAGACTRGGTTGACCACTTAACTGAAATTGACCAATCAAATGACTTCTAAGTTTTATAATACAAAAAGTACAAAGAAATCCAGACTAATTTATTTGACTTCACATTAAGTATTTGTTCAAATAATAAATCTTGTTTTTTGTTGTTCTTGCTGCTGGTGGGTAATGCCTGCAGATCAAAAYTTTCATTGTAACCATAGTTAAGAAGTCCTGACTTTAATGACATTACTATTGACAGTCAATGAATTTGTCTGGATTGWATCTCATTCAATATAATGTACACAGTGAGAAGAGACCTTTAACCATTCTACATCACAAATGAAGCTGCCAACATAACTCAGAGATTGTGAGAGCTGCTTTTGCAAGGAGATGCAGTATACAGGAAAGTGAGTGACTGAGTGAGTGACAGACAGTTCCCTCTAATGCAATCTTCAAGTCAAAAAAAGAACAAAGAATATGCTGTGTTGTTTGAAACTTGCTTAATGAGTATGTTTGATGCTGAATCCAACAACATTGAACACCATCAAACCATGAGGCCAATTGAGTCTAAGCATTCCAGGTGGTTCAACACAACAGGATGGATTTTAGATCACAAAAATTCTTCTTTAGTTGGACTTGGAAAATCTGGTAGGGATGACACTGCACTACTTATTTTGTGAACAAAGTCTGGGATCCACAATGTACTTTAATCCTCTTATACAGTTGTACATGTACACTCAGTTAGTAGTAGTTCCATCATTAAGTAAAAACCCCATAATTTAAATTCATCATGATAGTGAAGAACGTACCTTGCAGATAACATTAAGTCTAGGACTGACTGTAGTATTACCAGCTTTGTCTTGTACTTGTACATGGATATCCAATGGGTCACCATTTTCTATCGTTATCTCTGATGAAGGTGGTGTGACTACTAGTTTACTTGGTGGACCTAACCATAAAATATAATATCAATTACTSCTTGGTTGATAACCCAGTTCTTACACGTCAGATAAAATAGAATAATGTAATTATTATTCTTTATGTGGAAACACCCACAGAGTTATGTAACATGTGTTCTTCAAGACAGACATCAATTTTATACCAAGCAAATACGTTAAGCAAAACAAAACAAACTTCACTGGCAAAAATTAATCATTTTGTGAGACTACATATTTTAAATCTTTATCTGCATTTATATCCGAATTATAAAATTCATTATATAATTAATGGTTGCCTTTCTGCCTGTCATCTGTCTGACAAGCGTGTTTCCTGTGTTTTACCTGGTAAAAGTCTCATCTTTAAGCTTTGCGTATCTTCCTCCAAACCAGGAAGAGTCACTTTAAGACTGAAATCCTGTGTAAGCAATGATATAATTATTGATTACTATTCTARAACTATTTCAGCCAAAGAACAGCCGAGTGGAGAGTTCATAGTTTCATTGATACTGTYCATACCTTTCCAGCRTGWGATGGAATTGTTCCAATAGCAACTACATTTTTGATGTACAGACTGTTTCCCTTTGAAGATAGCCCACTAAAGCTCAGCTCAAGACCACTGCAAAGYCAAAAAGAAAAAGTACAATTGGGCAAATCTTGCTTGAAAAAATTTCTTAGTAACACAGTTTGCAAATTTGCTTTTGTTTCCAGTAAAATCAACGATTTAAGCCTCCAAAAYAGGGTGAAGAATTTTATATTTTTTGAAAAAAATCAAATTAATGAACACTAGACATCTTGAAATACTGTACGTCTAAAATGCTAACCTTGAATGGAGGGTTGGAGATACATTCTCAGAAAACCTGGATGGATTGTTRAACTCATCAAAAAGATTTAAAGGAATCTAGAAAACAACATCAAAATATTATCTTATTAGAATATCTTTGATGGTTTAGTTAGAGAAAAAGAGCCAAAGAGATCAAAAGAGATCTGGTGCYAGGGGATCATTGGAAAATGAATTCATTATAAGCATACAAAAGACCTGGCGAGAGATTGCAATGAAAGCAGCCAAAGGACACAGAAGACTGGAAAATGTTGGTGGATGCACTATGTGTCACATATATTAATGGCTGTCCTTCACTAGAAAAGATGACTGACTTGAGTTAAGTTTGAGATTAATAGCATCCTCTGCAGAAAATGATGGCAACTGGTACTCTAAAAAGAGTCTGCTGTATGACAGTGTATGAGTACACTATGGTATTCTTGATGTCAATGAGCTTCAAACTAGAAGCTTTCTTCATCAGTCCATGCCATTTGACCCCATCATTGTGTCACCTACATAGTAGGTAGAATGTAGGGGAAGATGCCTACATGTACTTACTTGGAAGGGTACTCCTACACGAAGTGGGTTGTCAAGCATTCCAAAGGTAAACTTATCAGGTTTGGCCTCTGAAATATTTTAAAATATAAAGATTTATTATTATTAATTAGTAGGGATTATTTAAAAGATAAACTAATAACAAACAAATTTGCCAAAWGCATGGCCTTAATGGTCTGCTTTCTAAACACTGAAAGAAAGACAAACGTTTTATTTGTTAACCTGTAACTGTAAATTTGATACGGTGAGATGGAAGKCCTTTCATCACTGGAACTGTAGAGCTTTCACTAACAATCACCTGTAGTGACAGTGTGTGGGGACCAAGTTGGGTAATGTTCTCTGAAATAACAATGATTATAATGTAAGGAGGGTGACATAATAATGTAATTGTTGAAAAGCAAATCATAGGGATGAATCTGTGCATCAATTGCCACTTGATATATTAAGCGAATCAATTCAAAGGTTTTGTCTCTTGTAAGGAGTCTGTATTGCCCTGAGCACAAACAGTAATATAAATCATATTATAAAACTTATTAATAATGCATGAGCTATTACTCCAATAAGGGTTGTCCATTTCATCAGGTGATTGACCTTGTAAATCAGATACAACACTGTGATACAACACTAGTGTTGTATAAGATTTACAACACGGTCGTCACCTTGAGACAACCCAACACTAGCAAAGGTCTCAGTTTTAGTGTCGCATCATAGACCTTCACTAGGTTTTGAAGCAATCAAAGACGGATAACAGAACTGGCTTATGCAACAGATGGCTTGCTTTCCATGTGGGATGGATAATTATTCAAAATGTTCTGTGTTGCAGTAAATTGCGCATGCTTAATAGCGACTCAACTCAGCAGTTTCCTTAATTGCCATTTTTYGTCATTTATCTCACTGTAATTCATGTTAATTTGTGTTGGAGTTTTATAAGTCGTTTACAACATTCGCGTCCGTGTTGTATGGGAATTACAATCTCTCGCCTGCGGCTCGAGATTGTAATTTCCCATACAACACGGCCGCTCATGTTGTAAACATTACTTATCAATGAGGTGGCAAGCATTTTTCTGTCAGGTCATTTTATTCTATTCTTATCAGGGTGATCCATTTTACCACTGACAACAAAAAGATCAGCTTAGGATTTGAACATAGCAAAGTACATTGTGAAAAAAAATTGCTCTTGTTTGTACATGTATGCTTTAGATCTCTAATACTGTAATGAAACTTCTTGGTTTCTGACTTTACTTAATGAATAATTATTGAAAAGTGTACTCTAAAATAGAGGATGATTCTCTTCCAATGATGTAGGAATCACAAATACAGTTAGGTCCTAGTCCCTGTCATACATTAATAGGGGGTTTTCATWTRTTAGCTYATGGGGAGGTCTKKCAAAATTTAATACATCCATCTGCAAACTTTATAAACACCTCTAGCATGTTATAAATCAAATCACAACCCCCTATTTTAACAATAATATTATAAGACCCCACTACATAACAAGTATAAACTACTTCAACCTCCCCAACAATGATTTCCAAAATTATCAAACCCCCTCCCCCTCAATTCTGCCATCTCCTCATGATCTAATAAATGAAAGCCCCCTTTTATATTACTTCATTGTATTGTTTCAACATTAGCAAAAGGAGATCATTAAATTACCCATTTTTCTGAACCAGTATGGCCAATTCTTGCCTCCATGTTGACACACAAGATTGGTTATTACTTTATCTGCTTCCTTTTCTAAGCCTAAAAAGGACACTTTTTTCAAATCATGATTTCATAATAACAGAAAATAGCAAACAATTTGAAGTTGCAKGTTTCACTGATTCCACATACCATGCCAAATAACCTTCATTTCTACCAGTAACTTCCTTCTGTCTCCTGGTAACTTATTGATTGGTTCACCTTTACCATTGACTATATCTACCTTCATAGCACCTAATATGGAAAAATCAAAACAATAAATGACTATTTCATAAACACATCTTGTCTATTTATAATAAGATTTTAAAAATTTATCAATCCAAAATCTTTTTGCAGCAAGTTACTATAATCATGATACATGATAGATTATCCTAGAACAGAATTTGGCAAAAATTGAGTTCAGTTTCACTTTAATATATAAGTGAGTATATCATACCTATGGTGGTTCCTGCTGGTAATTTAGAGTTATTGTCAAGTTTATTTCCTTCAGGCCAAGCGATGGTTAACCTGCTGGGCAGCTTACATTCTTCTTCTTCAACAAACTTCTTCACTTGTGCAACAGTTAGTGTCCTGTCTARTTTAGCTAATGGAAAGACTTTAGTTTCACCATACAAAGATACAGGCTCCTGAAGTTAAAATAAATTGGGAGATTATGCTAATGAGCAGCGCCAATTTTCACAAAGGGTCTATAATACACGACTTTCATAATGGCCGACACTAATTAGCATATTATCGCTCAATTAATAATGTTGACCAATAAAAACACTCAAATGGTAGATACCAAAGCCAAAGATAAACTCTGAACGTTTCACTGAAAAATCCTCTTTAAGTTATAAGAGTTAGAAGAGGTACAAAAACACCAAAACAAGGCTACAGTACCTAGTCACTAGCAAAAAAATTCCATACAAATCCCTGTATTTTCATTCCTCCATATACTTTGTTAGTATTTAGTCAACGGCTTCAAAACTTTCCATGTATTGAATACCTATTACCATTAGTTCTTCCATATGACAGTGTCCAATGTTTCCATAATATTACAAATTGTATAAAATCGATTGTAGCACTTATGAAAGTGGTCTATACAGTCATGTACCTATTAAGCTACATTACCTGCACAATTTCTATCTGACCTCCAGTTGCAAACACATCACYGTCATGATCTCCAAAAAGCAAAAATCTTTTTACTGTCCCACAGAAATGAGGAATTGTCCGGGTGGTTCGCATCTATTGAGAAAATTTGCAAACTTTAAATCCAACATAACAATTGTAATGATTTTAGCAACTGAACATATTTCAAGATATTTAGTCATGTAATATTAAATAATATAGTTTTTGGAAGTTTTTGAAAGCAAATTGGGAAAAAGTATGTCGAGCATTTTAATGTGTACAAAATATTATGGATTATTGGTGCTCCCAAATAATGTTAAACGGTATATAATGCCTTTAAATAAAAGAAAAAAATATAATGTTAAAATGAATATAATAGGCTGTTTGCATTATGACGTAACTTTACTACAACTACCAGAGGGCCTTGCACATTTTCATTTTATTATTTTATTCAGATTTTTAATCCCCTTTGGAGATTAATAAAACAATTGGCACTAATTGCATTACAAAAGAAAGTTGGCAAAGCATTCTGGTAGTTGTAGTAAATGACGCCATAATGCATATCGCCTATCAAAAGGTTGTTTTCACCATGTTCCATTTTAATTTTCCTGGATCAAAATTACTTTTATTTTATAAACTACACACAAAGTTCAAATGCATTTTATAATATTTATACCCTGCAAAAGAAAACTGTGTAACATTCTAAGCTAAAGGAAAATCATACCAGTTGACCAGCCTTGAACACTTTTCCATCCCACTCAATGGCATGAAACACAGACCATGGGCTTTGGTTTCTTTTCTGAGGTAATTCTGGTCTCTTAACTTGACCTTGGAAACTGAAGAATTTGATCTGAACAAAAAACGYCATTCAGTTGTTAAAGGAGAAKCTATAGCAAGAAACATTAAAACCAAACTCAAACATGTCAAACCTGTTTATCATGGTTTTCATGACACTCTTTTATCCAGTCTTGGAAGGCCTTGGATATGTGGACTCTTTGCTCCTAACAAAATAATAAAATACACATTTTAAACCATCATAACTTACTTTATTGAAGAAAAAAAAAAAGATTTATTTGGAAATAATGAGACACATGTAGGAGTCAGAACAATTCAATTATATTTTATCAATATTTTGACTTTTCCCAAGTTGCGTTATGTCAATTTTTAAAGAATATATCCATCAGTGATACAATTGCACAATCTTATAAGTAGAATGGCACTGTTGTAAGTTAAAAATRCAATACCTTCAGAAGGACACGGAAATGTGTTGATGAAGAGTCACAGACTATTTGTTTGGCCTTTGTTATCAGTTAATTGATAATGACATGTTAATATTATGAATCACTAAAAACACTTCATCTTCAACATTTAGAACAACCCAGACAACAATAACCCCAAACCCAACTACACAATGACTGTAACCAGTGAAATAGCTAACTTTTGAAACTGGCACAAAACAAAGTCAACTACAATTTAGGAAAATACCAAACAACAGATGAACAAAATGACTTTTGAGAATACTTAATAATATATATCCACAAAGTAACTACTGTTGTTGTAGCTAGTGTTATTAAATGGTTTAGCACAAAATTTAGTTCAAACCTCAGGGAAAAATATTCTATTCAATGCTATATCGTGTGTTTCATGTACCTGTCAGAGGGATCTCTTACTTTGTAAAATAATGTAAGTTATAATAATCAAAATAATAGTTCCTTGGATTTTATATAATAGCTATCAAATATAGCAGATGTTCAAGATATACATTACACTGTCGCATAATTATTATTACCTGTCCTGTTACCACTCTATTAAAAGTAGTTGTCTTGTCCTTTAGTTTTACTTCAAGGTCCATGAATGTTAGTTTGTTAGTGCTGACCTGGAAAGCATCATTTGTCCACAAAACACCAGAAAATCTGGAACAACCAAAAATAGTTAGTTTTTTTATACGTTTCACAGCATGAGATGATAGACTCCTTTTTTCAAAAATATRCATTGTGTAGAATAATTCATGGGGGCCTCTCAATGCAAGCTAACTAGTTGAGTATTAATTTGATTCAAAGAATAGTACATTGTAACTCTAAAATAAGGCACTGTTTCTGTTTATGCTTTAGCAAAGGAGCCCAGGTGAAGGCACTGGCTTTGCATATTGCATTTTTGTTGGTGCTCAGGCAAAAAACGTGACACTGTGCCAGTTACTGAGTACAAAGTACAAGATCTTGTATCTTGGCACTGAGCCTGTGTGAATACAAGCATGGATTTCCTGTTTAATATCGGCTGTACAGTACCTATTGTAGCATTCTTGAGGGATTATGGTTCTTTTCTTGGGTGGCTGACACCATTCCAACCTGTAATAGTGTCATGATAACCTCAGTTCAATTATGCAGCTACTGTATTTCAAGTAAGGTTGATTACTGACTTATAACTGTGATTGTTGCTTAATATATTGAATTCCAAGTGAGGGGCACTACTTCAAAGTCCCCTTTTAGAATGGTGATGTACAGTATCTCCTGGACTAAAATTTATGTTTTTTTTCTAAGTTGTGTATTTTGTGAGAAGTACCAGGGATTTGGCAGAGATGTATTGGCCATTTGATGTGAGCAGTGTATAAGCCTGTTTCACATGATGGCATACATTGCATTAAAAAAGGAATTTTAAATAAGMTTAAGTTTGTGATCTCATGTTCATTGATAACTCAAATGTCTTTCCATGCTGGACTTTTAAGGCAACAGACCAAAATAAAGAAAAATGTCTGTAATTTTTTCACTCAGTTATACACACAGTACCACTTACACATCAATGGCTGTATAGGGTATCAGTCTACCATTCCAGTAACACTCAAAGATGGGACGATATCCTCTAGGTCCATTGGTTTCCTTATCTATAATGTCCATTGGGTCATCAGCAGGTGCCAGATGGCTGACATCTTCAACTACATGAATAAAGCAAACAAATAAATCAGTACCAATGGTAATTCACTTTAAATCAGTTTATTAGTGCCCAGAAACTTGGGGAGCAAGATGGCCAAACAGTTAAAACACTAGAGGTCTATCAACGCTGTGCTCCCAGTTTGATTCCTGGTCTAGGATAAGATTTGTCGAGTATTTAGGCTGTTGACAGTTCTCTTCCTTGCTCCAAGGGTTTTACTCCAGGTACACTGGTTTTCCTACCTTTCCTACCTAATTTATCTGTAAGGAGTGTTGTATTATGTGCTAAAACAATTCAATGCAGTGGCTTTGAATGTAAGTCTGATACATAATAATTAGCCACTGGCAGCAATAACTCTCAGTATTGTAAAAGATGTGTTATTTTTAAAGTAACTCCTGGTATTTTCCCTGTGATTGACTATGAATTCTTAGAAATGACGTCAAACTTAAAAATAATAATTAGTCATTGTCGGCAATGACTGTCAGTAATGTAAAAACTGTATTATTTTTAAATTAAAGTAACAAATGGTATTTTCCTCTTGATTGACTATGAATTCTTAGAAATGACATCAAACTTTCTGCAACAGCACCTGGTTTTTGTTCTGAGTCATACATAGGGAATGTTTCTTTGTCATACAAGAATGGATGGTAGCGTAATAACCCTTCAATGCAGCCAGCATTCTCCACATGAGCACGAAATTCAAATGAGGATGCAGATGTTCTTATGTACTGGGTTTGCAGGTCATCATCAACTGTATGCAGTTCTTTTATCTTAGATTGCTTGCCTTTCTCATGTAGGACAACCTTGAAAAAAAAACACATGAGGAGCAAAACAGATTTAAAAGTGAAGTAATACGATTATATTCATTTGCATTATTTATAAACATAGTATATAGCTGAAATCAGAATCTTTTATTTTTTCTTCAGCAATAAAAGGCATTAGTAAAGGCATTATAATAGGATATATTGCATACACTCACTAGTATGCCAACCAAATTTGCCAAACAAGCATTATTCTGAAGAGTTGCTGAAGCCATTGGTATAAGAGGGGAGAGAGACTTGTAGGCCATTAGTAGAATAAAATGTTTTTATTTTTCATAAATCACAACAGACCACTACCTGATTTTTTTAGTTAAAAATACATACTAAGCGCTAATTAGCAAATTTCTCGCTAATAAAAAAAACACAACCCTTTGCATTTTAACTCATGAGAGTGCTAACAGTGCTGCTGAGATGACAGCTTAATATTCTTTAGATATTTTAATTTAAACTAGTAAGACTTAGTTGCACAGATGGTTAGGAAACTCACTTCAAAGCAAGAGGTCAATAATTCAGTTGTTCAGTTATGTTAAAGTGTTTTTCTTCCAGCAAGAAATCTATTATTTACCCTCAGTATACTAAAATTATAATATAATTTTTTTTAACCATTATTGAGTGACATAATGCCATCTCACAAACTGTTTTTTTTTTTTTACTAACTTACATTGATGTCAATATTTTTGAAGTCATCATTAGATCTGGTAACATTCACTTCGTTACCTTTAGGACCATGAAGATAATAGTGATAGATATGCCTGAATAGAAAAAAATATATCAGAAATGGCTGACAAAACACCAGAGTATGATAATGAATATTAATTCACTAAAATTTATATTTTGTTTTATAATTTGTTGCTTTAATTTTAATTATTACTATTAATAAAGGCACCTCAGTGTTGATATTAATGGCTTGCTTTTACACTGAACATTAATTGTTTATCCACAGGCATGACCAATCAAAATCACTCATAACAATAACCATAATAAGATGCAATATAATCTAAGAGTCTGTATGTGAAAACTAGCATAGAAGTGAGATACTATCTGTGCCATCGGAGGTTGACTTAACATTCCTGTCTTACCATCTCAAAATTACTAGCAGAAGTAGTTGTATCATGGCTTCAARCTCAAAAGAAATTGTTGGGATTTGCTGGGAATTGCTATGATAATTTGGCGGAGCTTACTACAAATCAACTAACAATTAGGGTAGTAAAAGCACTACCTCTAAGAAAGCAGGAAAGAAACAAATTCAAATCAAAAAGTGATGATGCAACAATTCCATTGTACAGCACTTGCAAGTGCTGTTGATAAACTATGAGAAGGGATAAAATAATTCCAACCTCTACTTATGATACCCAGGGTATGCATTTGCCCAATACTCCAATTATTTTGAAAAAAGTTTCAAAATTGCAAACTATAACATAACATACTGTTTACACAAACATTACAGTTCTTTGGCATGTTCTTAGTATCAATACATGTACATACAAATAATACTTGAACTCACGCTAGCTGTTGACACCATTGGTTAAACTGTGTCTTTAAGTATTGACTATGTTGAGATGAAACCCCAGTTATAACCACAGCTGTGAAGCTAGTATGACTGACYTCTTCTTGGATTAGTTTACAAATACTGTCTTCATCTTGAGGSACATGGCTAGCATCCCCTGGCTGATTACACAAACAAATCAAAATCTTGTACATCAAAGTGCACTTGGTGCCTTTTTACAAAATCACTTTTATACAAAAGGTAACACACTGCCAATCACTTCTGTGAGGAAAGAAATAGATTTTGAATTGTATTTTCTGAGTTAAAGACATTTGAAAATTGAAAATGCAAATGAAGTGACGTCAACTAATGAATTGGTCCAGATTTTTAAATTGTTTGTGCTATGCTGTTCTTGGTTGAAGAGCTCAAATCATCAATCATGGTAATAAATGAGAGCTAAAAATGCTTTTTTTTAATGTAACAAAAAGAATAACATCCTCTTTAATGATTTTGTAAAATGATTAAATCGTTCCTTAGTAGACGTCACTTCATTTGCATTTTCTAAGTTTCAATTGCCCATAACTAAGAAAATACAATTTAAAAATCAATTTCTTTCTTCACAGATATACCTTAGCAACATTTTCTCTTTTGGATGAGAATGAATTTCTAATGGCATCATGTGCACTTTAATAAGCATCACTATTTAATAACATAATGTTGACAAGCAACATTGACATAGACACTGAGATCCCCTTACACGTCTGTTCATGATGGTACCACTGTAAATTGATTCCTTGTTTTTCTCTCTTCTTTCAAATTCTTCTTTAGAGATGCATAGTTCGTGGACATCAGAGCAATCCTTAGTTTTTGTAATCATCTGATGTGTCAAAGAAAAAAAATATTTAATATACAGCTGGTGCTACATTTGCATTGCAARCATGAATCAAAASCAGGGCCTAACTKAGRCTGAATTTYAATGACAACWAATCCATACTGTATAATGTCATAAAATGGTACAAGCTTCTCAAAATCAGACCTAGAAACAGGAATACTTTTGCTCTCTTTCTTCAAGTAGCCATGCATGATTGACTAGATACTTACTCTAGTGGCATTTCCTATAAAGAAGATAGCTTGTTTGCCTCCAACACCAAAGTACGAAATGTCACTGTTCAAAGATCGTGGTACTTCTCTGTCTTCAAGCCTTTTTGCAGTTTTTCTGCAATTCATAAAATAATCCCATGACAAAATCCCATTAAATATTCAAAATTGCTGACAAACAGAATGGAATGAAGTCATTATCAAGAACATTGTCTTTCTTTCATATCATGTGAACCTTGCTTTTACCCTCCAAAAAGTTAATTTCTAAAGAATTTTTATTATTTATTATATCACTGTAAAACTACATTTTAGCCTTATTTACAAATAACATGTCGACACAATGTATTGATTTTTTTAATTAACCCCATGTCCCTAGGTATCTCTATCCCTCCCTTCTACCCCTCAGACAAGAAGGGTTCAAATTCAGGGCAAGGAAAGGAAAATGTATAGTTGACAAAGATAAATGACTATTCTATTACAGGGATTCTGGAATTATGCGCTGATGCGGACCCACATAATCGGCCATTCTCCGCATAATCCCGCATAATTTGTCTAAAAATCAATATATATGTTATCTATCTTGTGTCTGGCTTGAGTATTGTTTTTTTCCCTTTTTTATCGTCATACAAAGTACTAAAGTATCATTTTTTAACAAAACAACGCCATACGCCATATGACATTCATTTAGTTATGGGTTTCCTGTGGCTTGGCCCAGGTTCCACAGCCATTGGCGGTTTCCAAGATGGCGGACATTTACAAGAATTGTTCTCTCTTTTGGCCATANCCATTCTTTTATAAAATGAAACAAAATAACTGAGTTTCCTAATCCGAATTAGTCATATTTTATGTTTTAAGAGATGACGTCATCGTGCATAATTTCGTGCATAATCCCGCATAATTTTGATTTTTTTCGCGCATAATTCCAGAATCCCTGTCTATTATAATATATAGTTCAGTGTATCAATACTCATACCGATTAAACTTAGATAATCTGTAAATTGCCCAGTTGTTTAATTCCCTTGGTGTCATTCCTCCTCCATTGTCTAATACACAAACTGCATGTTTTCCTGTTGTGTCATCAAACATCTAAAGACAGAAAAATGCATTTGAATACTTCAGAACACACTGCTCACTTCATTTCATATTTCAAACAAAACAATTAACCTTACCAGCCTAACTTCCACTTTCCTGCTATCTTCATTACCCGCTGTAGCTGCTAAGGCATTGTCAATAAGCTCAGCAAACGCAAATGCTGCAAAATACCAGCACAAGGTTATGCACTCGCACTTTGCACAAGTAATAAAATGTGTTCTATTTTAACCAAACTATATTTAATGAGATTTATGGAAAACTAAGAAGTGACGCAGCTAAACTGGGAAGTAAAATGTTGTTGCGGAGCAATTGCAGAATACCCTGCTACTCGGATGAAAAGTTTATGAAGGCAGCTACATGGCTACGGAGTCAAAAGTGAACTACCAGTTTCCCTGTGTTTTAAGAACGAGGCAATATATTATGAAGTGACTATGTGGCTTGACGGACCAGTTCACACTACATATACAACACAAGCAGAAGCACAAGAAGTACGAATCTACAGTTGGAAATCATCATCAGTAGCATAAGGAAATCTTTTTCATTCACCTATCATTCTACTATTCTTAGTGTGAACTTGTGCAACATAAGTATGCTAATGCTTATGTAAAATAAAAACCAGATTCTGCTTATGTCATAAGTGTGAACCAACCCTTGTTGAGGTTCTATCCTGACCTCTGCCCCTTCTCACCCCAAAAATAGTACCCTCATTAGTAAAATCACACCAGTGAAACCACATTTGACAAAAGGCATTACATAATTACAAAGGACAGTAAAAAACATTTGATATGAMATGTGAGATACTTACGTAATGGATTTTGGCCCTCACTAGCATAATATTCATACATCCCACTTTTAACCAGAGTATCATAATGAGGTATAAACACKACTCTTTCCTGGGTAGGTGCTGTGAGTTCTTGATCAAGGGATTTCAACAAATATATAGTTTCTTTGTCTTCTACTAACTCTTCTACAAATATTTCAAATAATTACCTTACCATTACATGTGATTAATTTTTCAGAGATGAGAAATAAAGGCATCTAAAATCATTCAGAAGTTTGAATCAACATACCGTATGACTTATCATCACTTATCTGCTCCCTGTTGGTATTTACGAGAACAAATTCATCCCTTTGAKGTATTTGAAGAACCTGAAAGGAAATGCAATGCCATGAATCAAATAACCCCGAGATTAAACTCATCATTACGTAAAATTTCACCAAAAATTTGGGTGCACTTGCCTGGCACACTTTCTCCCGAAAGGCGGCAAACTTGAAAATGCCTCCAAAAATGACACGTTTCTCGGGATTATTTCCTTCTCTGCGGTCAAATACAAATACTGATGACTCTTCTGCTTCATTTTCGAGAGAATGGCCCTCCTTGTTTAGGTTCTTCATAATTTACAGCCAAAAACCGACACGAATTCTTACAATTCTTACAAACACACTACGAACTTGAGCACACACGTTTGACAACAATGTACGGGGCAAGCATTGCAATAAAACAACTGTTCTCATTGGTTGATACTGTAATCCTCAACCAATCACGGTCATGGTTAGAATRTMATTTTTACATAAACACAGGAAACCCAATAGTAAACTCGTGGATATAGATCKCTGAACTTTTTTCAATTTTCAGTCAAAATTGGGGACCCAGGGGGATTTGTCAAAATGCTCCATAAAACCTAATGAAATTCCCATGGTTGAGGAAAATTATGAAACTCAGAAATAATAGTTTAATTCGTTGATACTCTTTAACTAATTCACGATCACAAAAGCAAAATAATCCCCCACCCACTTAGGCAAAAAAATGCCTTACAATCAATTAAAAAAACCCTCACTTCCCCTGGGTTCCCCGCGGGTCACCCTCAGGGGGAAACCACTGATAGACACATTATAATTCCGTATGAACAAAATGCGACACAAGTCCGTACATGTTGTTATAGTACATTCAACAAAATAATACATTCTGATTGGTCGAGAGGAGTACAATTACAGCGTTAATTGTAAAAAATCGCACAACCTCTCGTAACTAACCCTATCGGGCTCGTGCAATTACGAGAACTTTCAAAACATTACTCGTGACTATTAATTCCAAATTGTACTCGAGGTCGTGCGATTCTTTGCAGCCACAGGTATCCCAAGCTCCACTGTAAACGCCAAAACATTGAAAATACATGATCATAAACTTTAAGAAAAACTCAGCTAACGCAGCACGACAACCAAGGTCACCAAGCTGTAGCTCTTCTACACCTATTTCAAAAAATGTTGTTGTCGACAGGACACAGTCCACAGTCTCAAGCCTGTAAAGAATCTCGAGATTTCCATGTGTAATTAATAACAGTAGTGTACCACAGAGCCGTGAAAAGGCARAATTGTTTTTAGGAGGAATGGCTTTGGCCTACATTGGCAAACATAAATGCAGGGTTGGTTGAAGATAAATATTCTAAATATTCATTTTGGTGATGTTAAAATGCACTTAGATGACTCTTAATCTCTCTTCTGATTGGAAAAAGGTTATTCCGGGAGAAAGACCCTTGGAAATAAATTCTGAAAAATTAATTTTCCCTTGAATTTGTACTACTGCTGATGCTCTACCAGCTGTACTTGTGTTCGAAACCCAGCCAGGTTGGAAATWAATTTTTCCAAATTTATTTCCAAGGGTCTTTCTCCCAGTATGACCTCCTTGCTAGTACATGAATCTCATAGTGCCATGCGGTCCTTTCATATTATGTCTCTTCTGATTGGTCAATTAGAAATATCTTTTGGCCGTATGGGCTGTATTGCTTTCCAATTTGCACTGTAAAATTTTAATATCAAAGGAGCAAATTCATAACAAACAAACATTTCTTACTTGCTCATTGTCATTGGTCTCAGAGACCTTATAGCTTAATAAGTTACCGTTACTATTATACAATACTTCACTGTAAATTTTATAATTAACAGCTTTGGTTCTGGTTCAGTTATAGTTCCCTTCCTGTGATTGGTGTTGGCCCCAGGTCCTTAACTGATAACTTGATAAAGACTTAATTTTACACTCTTCCTTCTTTGTTTGTTTTTTTGGAGGAAGGCAACCAAGCTAGATTATAATTGCATATGACAATACACAATGGGAAATCCTTGAACTTAGTCCTTTCTGACAAAAAATCATATTATAACCAGAAGAATATCAAAGCTCAATATGTGAGGCTCTTTCAGTGTTATCTTTCAAGAATGAAGAATTTTCWTCAGCCATTTCACTAGAATCCTCTTTTTCACCATGGATGTTGTCTTCATCCTCATCCAGTCTTGGCTCTTTTATTTCCAAATTGGAATCACCTAATTGATCTTCCTTCTCYTTCTTGGGACCATGTGGAGGATCCATTAACCTTGCAAGTTCTTTGATAGCATCAGCTGAAAGCTTCTTCACATCTTCAACAGTAAGAAATCCTTTGCCTTCTTTATCAATTAATGTCCTGAAAACCTTTTTGGGGTCACWGCTTTCGTAATCTTCATCCATTGAATGTTGCCAATATTTCTCAAAAAGTTCAGGTGTAAGAATATCAGTTTTCATCTTTTCCATGGCACTTAACATGGTGTTTCTAAGCATTTCAATGTTCATGTATCCCATCTCTATTACACTGTCACCTTTGTTATAGGTCCAATGAACATGGACTTTGTCCAAAGTAACATTTGCATTCAGATCAACCTTATCACAGCCTCTATCATCAAATTTATCTTCATCAGTTGTAAACAACATTGTTGCTGATATACTCCGAACGTAAGAACGTACTTGATGGATGTACTCTAAAGGGGAAAAAGAAAATAAGTCAGAAGAGAAAGCAGAATCTGAAATGTCAAGATCTTTTGTGTTTCTAACTGATTGTATCATCTGAATTAGTCATTTACAAACGCAACTGATCCTAACTAGTAATTAACTAATTTCATATAATATTATACTGTCAATGACTTTTCTGGAAAAAATTTATACAAAGTATACGTACATATAATTTGAATAAAAGAAGCTAACATCACAAACTGATATAGCTTTAATTCAACTCTTACTAGGAACAATTTTGAAACAATTTCCATTTCACCACTAACAACCATGATCTCGTTTACCAATGCATGATAACAAGTCAAACCTGAATTGCAACTTTGACAACAATTCACCTAAATAAAATCCATAATACATAATTTGGCCAAGCATCACTCTTGACCAATGACATCATTGATCCATACAGTATGTTCCTACCTGAAGGTAAGAAGACACAGTCTCCAGGGTAGAGTGTAGTGTATTGCCAAGATACATTGGCAACTTTGGGGTATTTTAACATGTCAACCTTATCTGGATTAATCTTGGTGAAACCAGAACCAGAAAGCCTACTCTAGAAATTTGAAAAAAAAAGAAGAAAAAAGTGTCAATTGCCTGGAAGTTCTAAAAGTTTGTTTTTTTGAGAATGTTGGATTTCTCATCTTCTTTGTTTGTTTAGGGGAGATCTAGTGTCACATATAGTCTGTCATGGAAAACCAGAACATCCATTTACGTACCCTCTCCTCCATGTATAAGTCATCGACATGTTGTTGGTTCATAAGCATCCAGTCCTTCCTCCCAGCAACCAAGCAATGCACTATRTGGTCTGCATCAAAATGGATTAAAGAGCGAGTTCCCCCGGAGCTCATCCAGAAGTTTGTCTCATGAATTAAATCCACAAATGTGCCACACAACAAACAAGATGGAACCTACAAATACATGTATCCAGTGATTAAACTAAGAAAGGCAAGATCATCCTTATGAACATCAGTTTTTTGCTTCTCCTTGCTACTGTTGCTAAAAAAGCTGGTGCTACTGTTTGAAAAAGTTTGATCTAAATTTCAGTCACTAAATACTGTATTTCATACATAGGGTACCTCAGTACAGAGTTAGTAGTTACTAACTCTGCTCAGTATTAAGACGGATTTAATTTAACATTAATTGCTGTTTGACCTCTTAGACATTAAATCTTTAGCTAAAGCACAAGCCTAAATCCAAAGATAAAAACAAATGYCATATGTGAAAATGAAACACAAGTGCAAGTACACACAGCAAGAAACAATGCTAGTGTCATGCCTTGCATTGTGTGTAGCAGCCAATATGGTGACCTCTTGCAATACGCTTATAAGACTGGCGATAGTAATTTCATAGGTCGAGACGATGCATAGATCTGTGTTTCATTCACAGATGTACATGTAGAACCGAGGTGAGAGCAAATGCAGCCCCAAACTTAAGCGCAAGAGAAGGAAACATTTTGATCCTTGTGTTTCAGTTTTTGTTTAAGTTTGGGCTTGCATTGGGTTGCTTTTCACAGTGTTTATGAGCCTTGTGCACTTGCGCTTAGCATTGGGCTTAGGTTTAAGCATTTGGGCTTAGGCTTAAGCTAGCCTCACACATTTTTCAAGACTTTGTGGGATCTTTTTAGGGTCTTTTTTTCCTCAACAATTCTATGACAACAGCATTTTCACTAAAAAATGGTAACATCTGACATTTATTAAATAGTTGAATGGTTGATGTAAATATTTTGAAAAAGCTTCACTGTCTCAGTACACTGCCATTGTTTGTTTTTAATTTGGTGCTTTGGAAAAAGATGTTTTGAAAATCATGCATGACTTAATGCTCATTAGCATAGTGCTTTCGCTTTAAAATTCATGCATTTTCCTGTTTCATGTACACGTAAGATAAAAAACTCACCTGAACCTCTTTCCTCATGGGATCTGGTAGAACAGTAACAACATAGATATCCTTCGCTTTATAGTTATTAATAAAAGTAGCTAAAGTCGTTCTGCGAGCTGAAAAACTTCGATTTTCCTTTTTCAATTCAATCAAAACATCCAAATCACCATAATGTTCCTTCAAATAGTCGTCAGTCCATCGAGAAAGTGCAGAAGACTTTGCAATCGCTTGACGAAAAACTGCAGGTTTATTTTGCTTGACATGTTTTTCCCAAAGWTCAACAGGGTGTAAGACTGTAKTATACTCAGCCACCGGTCCGTCGGGAGGTCTTTGGTATCCAAATGGTTTTAAATGACCAGCAGGAATTTTTGGATCATTGCTCGCAACGAACTTTGGAGGAAATTCAATGGAGGTGTCTGACTGACTTCCCAAAGAGGYTTTAAGCTTCCCAATCAGAGTTAGTAACAATAAAAATCGTAAGCTTATATGCTGTCTCATTGTAAACTGAACTTTGTGATCAAATCGTGCAGTTTATCATGTCAAACAGCAAGTTTACATCAGCTGGTGAATCAGCCAGCTATCAAAATGATAATATATCGACAAATTTCCGAATCATTTCCGAATAGTGCCCGAGCAAGTTCATCGGGAATCATTGACGTCATTGAAATCAAGAAGAGTCCAGGGTCAGGAGAGGGTAGAGTGTTGCACAACGACGGAATCCCAGTAACGAAACTTGCAGATAGATTCAGTWCAAGATGAATCCAGATATTGCACGGGAACGCTCTAAAGCTTCTTTCAAAGTCGAAGAACTCACGAATATTCTTGATGGAGGAAAAGCTAAAACAGAAAGGCGACGGTACCTCGGTAAGACATGTCGTGCAAAAAATCTTGCTGCACGCAAGTCAAACACAGCTTAAGTTCTTAAATGATTCCAAAGATAATAAAAGCAATGATGATGATTCTTTAGCATTTGGATTAATTGTTATCGAACGTAGAATTTTTCTTCTTTCGTGCAAATAATATCGATCCTGGTGCATTTTACGGCCTGCAAGTTTTCATTGAGTTTTACACTCAATTTTTAGCTAATTATTGCTAAATTAGTTAATTGATAATTAAGCTTATTGTGATCTATAGACTATGTTGCAAAAGCATTGCGCAAAACTGTAATATTTCATGTACGATATGCATGATAGGTCTCAAGTGGGACGGTGTATTTATTCAAGGCGTTGAAATACGAGAATTAAGAGGGCAAGAACGTCCAATTTTTTTGCGCAACATTGACTTGTCACGCAATCAAAGTTGGGCAAAGCTCTCTCGTATGTGTTGTAGTTCAGTTTCAATATATTTTTGAACCAGTTTAATCTAATTTGTTCCAGTACAAAACTTCTTGTACTGGTCTCTTTTTTTTGTTTTTTTTTTTTGTTTGTTTTGGCATTCTTAAAAGAACTAAAAGAATTATATCCCATCTCATTCTCTCCCATTTYCTATCTATCATCTTATTTTCTACCTTATTTTCTACCCTATTTCCTACTTTATCTTACCCTATACCCCACAGAAATATTGATATTTTCTATATTTTTAATTTATGAATAACACTTACCTTCATCAGGGTTTGAACCACTGAACTATATATATATTTTAGAATATTATTTTATTTGCAACTGACGAGAAACACACTGCACACTCTTGGAAAGATGTATATAATAACTAGGGGCAACTTAGATTTTTGATACAAATGTTTTGAGTCTTGCACAACATTCAAGAAGCTAAGGAAAATTGCAAAAAATAAAACAAAATCTTTCCTTTATTGGCTAGATCACAATTGATGGCATTTAAGTAATGGTCCGAGTAAGAAGCAGGCAAGCAAACGGCAATGGAATGCATGAAGGTGCTAATTTTAGTATTGTATAATCCATCCATCTCATTGGTTAAAACATTAAAATTTGACATAATTTCAAAAGTAATCGCATTTTTTAATATTTTATTTAATATCTGATTCTAACTTTATAAAAGCTTTCCTTAGGTTTAATATTAATAGGAATTCTATGTGGGGAACATAGCAAATTAGAAGCATCTTTTGGCTATTGTTTTGAGTGCTTATGATTGGACAAGATCTTTTAATACAAAAGAAACTTTGTTTCAAAACAGAGTTTATCCACATTTTATTTTAAAAATGTGTTAC